AAGCCGGAAAAAAAAGTTGAATAAAAATTTTGTCCGTCTGCTCGCTCTTTTGCAGCGTTTTCTTCCCCTTTCTCTTTGCTTTTTGTTTTTTGCCTGGAAGTTTCTCTAACTTCTTCTTCTTCTTTTTTACTGTCTTTAATTAATTAATTAAAAATATATATCATAATTACTACAAAATTAAATATATAGATCTCTGCATATATATTATTATTACTATTATTATATTATATTATATGCATATAAAAGTGGGAGTTGAAAAAAAAAAAAAAAATAGTTATGATTGATGGAGGAGGGGTTTTTGTATTTCTTGTCAATTTTTTTACTTTTTTTTGCAGTTTTCAAGAATCTGTGTCTCTTCTTTTTTATGCATAATAAAAACCTAAATAAAAAATAAATAAATAAAATATTGATGGAGAACAATTATCATCAATTTGTAGAAAAGAAATCCAGCAGTTTGTTTTGTTTCTAGGAATCAAAGGGGATTTTGTTAAATTTTTTAATTTGTTGAGAATATCATCATCATATAGTATATGATTGAAATTGATCATAGAGAAAAGTGTAAAAATAAATAAATAAGAAAAAAATGAGGTCAGATGGTGAGGGCCGGGCCCGGCCCGGACCGGCCCGGCCCGGGAGGCTCCCTCGTGGTATCTTGGACGACGTGAAGGGGAGGCAAAAGGAAGAGAGGTGGTTCATTAAAATAACGTGATGTTCTTTTTTTTTTTTTTTTTCCGATTGTTATCGGTGTTTTCAAATGTGTCAGTTGCCTTCGTTTATTTATTGCTTTGCTTTTATCCATTGTTTATCAAATTTGAAGGACACCTTTTTAAACAAAGACCAGTATTCGACCTGTGCATTTGTACATATATAAATAAAGTATTATGAGTTATTTATTCGATCTGTGCATTTGCACAGATGTAAATAAAGTATTATGAGCTATTTGTATGTATATAGTGATTAATAATTTTTCTTGCACTTTTGGTCGGCCAAATTTACAATTAAAAGAGTTGGAATATTTATTTTTTTAAATTGCATTTATCATATTGGATGTAATGTATATTTTGGTATGTATTTTTTTATGAATTATTTATTATTTATTT